CGGTGCCCCATCCCCACCTTGTCCCCATCCCCGAGCACTCAGTGCCCTGGCCAGTCCTTCCCTGGGCACCTCCAGGGCTGGGCACTCCCCCACCTCCCTGGGCAGCCCCTTCCAAGGCCTGACTACCCTTTCCAGGGGAAAATTCCTCCTGAGATGATGTTCATGATGAAACTCAAGCCACATTATTTAGTGAACAGGGTTCGTGAGACGCTCAACAGCTCATGGACACCCCTGTGTTGTAGCACACAATGGATGCAAACAAGTTATTACCCCCATTCTAAGGGACAGGTTTAAAGGGAAAAGCATCAGTTAATTCATTTATTCCTTTTTTGGTCCTTTTCTCCAGCAGAAAACAAAATGTCTTCAACTTTTTCCACTGTAGATAATTTTAGAAGTTCAAAGCACCTCTCAGACGCTCGTAACTATTTTATATATTTGTAGTGTGTTATTAGTCTATTAAAAGCTTAATTCTCTTCTCAGGTGCTTCATTATTGAAAAACAGTCACTTCAAAGGTGCATGTTGGGGCATTTCAATGTTTGCTTTAGTCAGAATGGGATTTTATAGCCTTCAAATGTTTCATTCAGATGTGGCTCTGCACAGACAACCACGAGAGACCCTAAAACTGCCTCCTTTGCCTTCTCTTCCTCGAAATTTGGATTTCTTTCATCCACAAAGATGATCTGGGGTCTGGAGCATCTCTGATGAGCAGAGGCTGTGGGAGCTGGGCCTGGTTAGTCCAGAGAAGAGAAGCTGGGAGGGGATCCCTCCTATCCACACAAATATATCAAATATCCACACAAACCTCTCATCTGAGAGGGGATCCCACTCATCCACACAAATATCTCCAAGGGGTGGCAGATGATGGTCCCAGACTCCTCCCAGTGGTGCCCAGTGTCAGGACAAGGAGTGATGGCCACAAACCAAACCTCAAGAAGTTCAACACGAGGAAGAACTTTTTTCCAGGGAGGGTGGGAGAGCCCTGGAACAGCTGCCCAGGGAGGGTGTGGAATCTCCTCTCTGGGGACATCCCAACCCTGCCTGGGCGTGTCCCTGTGTCACCTGCTCTGGGTGACCCTGCCCTGCACTGGGTGATCTCCGGAGGTCCCTTCCAAGCCACTGTGGGATCCTGGGATTCTGTGAAATCCCCTCTGCGTGTTCAGAGGGCGGCGATTCCACTCCCAGGAGGGGCTCGAGGGTTCAGTGGGGCTCTCAAAAGCTCTTCACCAGCTCTTTGTGCCCAGACTCTGTGACAGCATCGCGCTATTAACAGGTTATTGCTGCCATTAGGGCACTTCAGTCAGGAGTAATGAGTCCCTTTGGAATTGCGTCAAGGGCTCTCCCCTTAATGACACCGGGGTGATTCCACAGCCTGGGAACTTCGCACCATTTCATTGTCATTCAAATGGGGCACTTGAAGCGACGCTCGGCAAACACTTGTCCTGAGCAGCGCTTAATGAGGCGAACGGAAAGTGCAATTTTCTGCTCTCTAACAGATCAGATCTCTAAATCCAGAAAGCTGGACAAACCTCAGACACTGCCAGCAGAAAAAAAAACAAAACAAAAAAAAAAAAAAAAAAAAAAAAAAAACCACGAGAAAGAGGAATTTTCATGTCCAATGGCAGAGCTGTGGTGCTGAAGCAAATTGAAA